TCTACCCAGGCTTCTGCCGAAAAAGGGAAATATGAAGTCGCAAAATGACGCACAAAAACCAGAATCAGTGACGATGAAGCGATGGCCGTGGGCTCCAACTTTAGAATGCAGCCTACGAGTAGGGTTGTCTCTCTGCATGTAACCAGACATACTTCACAGGATCTGCATTACGAGTTTTGTTCAGGTGTATACAAGACCTGTGAGCTGTACCTACTGCTCATGAAGAGGACACGGGGTTTCCTCGGAGCCAAGAAGACTCGTCCTTGCGGTTGACACTTAGGGTCTAGGGTCTATGGGGTCCAGACGCCTGAGGATGACTTGAATCACGAGCATTGAGGAATTTGGTTCCCAGTGCGTGCTAAATGGTGGCATCATGCGACATCAGTCCTGCCATCTGGAGCTAGGAATTTGCAGGGCTCTCCCTGCACAAGCCAATCGCCAAAATCTTTCCCAACACCACATATCCCACAATCAATACCCTATTGGGCTTCAGACAACGATCCAAAGATTTGAAAGCCAGGCCGAAAGTAAGTATTGGTCCCAGACCTAAAGAATCAGACTGCCTTGCGAGGCTGCAGTCCCAGACTTTGCTCTGAACCGAGCTTCCCGCCAGCTCCCCATCGCCGTGATCTGAAACCGCGGTGTCAATGGTGGTCTCAGCGCTATGAGAGTCTTTCTGTTGAGGGGGAGTGGGGGAGTGGTAACCCCTACATAGCCCCGCACAGTTGTACCATGTCATACCTACATTCCCTACCGCGCTCCCCTTCTGACTGGGACATCTGGACTAAAATGGCCATGGATTTCAGGCTTTGTGGGCTTGAAAAAGAAGGGTCATGCCCACAGCGCAATAATCCTTAGCATTCGATGGAACCCCACACAAAGGGACACCCTAAGTTTGGGATAATTTTGGAAGCCCCCATGCGGAATCTTTATAGCTTCAGGCTCCAGGCTTGATTGATGCCTTTGCGACACACATCAAGGCTTAAGGTTGGGGAAAACTTCCTGGCGCCCAGAACCCTAAACTTAATTATGGTCCCTTGCAAAGATCTCAGACTCCTAGAAGAGACCCTTAATGTCACACTTCATTCTTCTGCGAGCCTATTTCACGCATGTCTGGGTCGCATCACCTAAAGTGCTCCGGTAGCGTTCGGCATCTACGGGCAGAACAAAATCCAAGCAGGCCCTTCCCCACTCAGCACCGTGACAACAACCCGGCCTTCACCGAGCCCACGTAGAAGGCCCAGGCATGATCTGCGGAGCGGGCTATTGATCAGGATACGAGGTTCAGCGGTACGGGGCGAAACACACACCGACCACCGTGTTAAGAGGACGTCTGGTGGACTGTTATACTCGGGATTTTCATTGGAACAATTTGGCACTCGAACACCTTGAGAACGAACCTTTAGTCTGTCAAGGCAAGCGCGAGGTGCAGCTCGAGGCTGTTCCAAGCGCTTTTGAAGATCTACGTAAAAACATCTGAGATGGTGCGTTCGCTTTGAGGTGTCGGTTAATGCGGCTTCAAGTTCGTGAAGATTTACAAGTGACATGCTGCTGTCTCCAGACGCTACATGCTAATTTGTTCATGACTTTTAGGTGTTGGTTAAATGGGTCCAGCGTCTCGGATGCAGGACTGGAGGTCGTCCAGCTTTGTTTGCCGCATGCCACCTGCTTTATTCGTCACCTTATTATGCGCGAATTTGCGTGCACATCGGGGTCACCTACACGGGATCTATGCCACAACTCCCATCCTTGTCAGGCCACTGATACTGCGCTCTGGCTTCTGCACCGCTGAGGATGATTCTATATATTAGAGGGTGGCCGACGCTCTCTAACTGCCAACGTGCTTCGGGAAGAGGAGGCCCGCATATCCATGCGAATGTAAATTAACCCTTGCAACACCAACCGAGCTCGAACCATGATCGACTGAGTTCACAAGGATTCCAGTCTCACCCACGCCACAAGATCCCACACTAGATGCGTAAGTGCCCAAACCCCAAGGCTTTATTCAACAGAAATCCAAATCATGGGCCCTCAACACCGACCTTCTTACGCAATCCTCAGACCCTAAACTAGAGCTGAATCATAATGAATGATACATCAGCTTAAACTCAGTAGTGTATGGTTTGCTCTGTCAAGATCTCATTCCAAGGTACTTCAGACTCTAAAAAACCAAACGCGCCTGGGGGCGGAGGTGGCATCTCAGGCAAGAGATCTCTAAGCTTTGCCTCGCCTGGACATCAGATTCCCAGACCCCCTAAAGGATCCAAAAAATGGAACCCCCCAATATGAACCCATTACTACATTGGGGAAACTAGGGGATTATTAGGGGTTCCATTTTTTGGATCCTTTAGGGGGTCTGGGTTACCATAGCGCCCTATGATTATTGTTGTCATGCTAATCCCTGAGCCTAGGCGAAGGCGAAGGAAATTAAGGAGTCAAATGAGCTACAGTCTAAACTTCTCGTATCCTCCATAATAACCCCTCTCTAGTACTCTCCTATATAATCTCTTGTATAGCCCTCTTTAAGGAGTTTAGACTACAGCTCAAATGGAGAAGGGGGGGAGCCTGGTGAACACGCGGTTTCAGGTTTAAGGGAGAAAGGTTTTCAACAAGTTGAAAAAATTCGAGGGTGTGCGGTTGGGCCAGCTTGCGCCTCGCCAAGCATTCTATTGGGGGGCAAAGGTCCAGGGAACCTTCTTTCCTGACCTTCTGGTGAGCTTGGTTTTTTGATGTCCTGGGGTTTAAGCTTTAGGCACGCCCATCGCATTCAAGCATGCGGGTAAAGGGCTTTGGGCTTAAGTGAAGTTACTTACGTTTGACAGGTGCTACCACATGGCTACGAACAGATGAGGATGCAACTGTGGGGCAGAAACGTTTCTCAACTCCGTGTCTTGCACGTCGGTGCAACCAAGGCTTCTCCTCGAACATGTGACATACACCCTAGCTGATAGCATGCCTTACCATTATACTGTTATGCTGTCATCGATTACACGAGTATACAATTACACTATTAAACCAGCATATTATGATACTATTGAACTATTGAACTAAAATACTGCTATACTGTTATTGAACGACAATTCCTGCCTGGGATGGCTTTGGGACCGAAAAGGACTTTGCCCTCGGAGTTCTGAACTGTCACGTTGACCTCCGCGCTTCAACGAGCGCATTGCCGAAGCAGAATTGGGTGAAGTTGCTATTCTTGATGCAAGAAGTCTTGCCCCGGGCAATTCTCACTAAGCGAGGTCTTCCTATTATAAAAGAAGTAGTGTCAGATCACTTGAACACATGAAGCTTAGGTTTACCACCAGGCAACTACAAAAGAGTCATGATGATCAACGGTGTTGTTTTGAGGCATCTCTAACTCTACATCATGCTTGATGCTTCCTATGGATCACAGAGGAGGAGGAGCAGTCCTCATGGATTCGTCTATAAAGGTCTTTCTAAGTGCTCTTGACTTGCCAGGCGTATCTGCATCCTAGATCCTGCTGGCTCTGCAAACCCAGGGCGGCCTGCCTCCGGCATGTCAATGCAGGCCTGCCAATGCCACTGCTCATTGGGCTCTTGGATGTGCGGCTTCGGGCCCCGCAGCCCCAAAAGTACTCGCAAAGTGGAACAAGAAAGATGCACAGGACATATCCTCTTTCCCCGAATGCAGCACATCATTCTATACTCTAGATCTAAACTGAACATCTTAAAAGAAAGATTTCAGTTCGTAGCCGGATTTCGCACCCACTACCTGTTGTCCCCTTGTCCCCAGGGTGGCGCTTGTAGTATCACGTATGTTGGAATACGGCTTGCTGTCTGTTGTCGTCCCTTACCAAACTGCATCTTGAGGGGACAAGCGTTTTTCCATTCCCCAGGACTACATGCAGATGTCCCCAAGATGCCCCCAAAACCTCCCAGGGCTTTCCGTCAACGCTCGTTACGTACTGAAATTGCCAGAAAACCTCAAAGGCAACCATGCCACATGAATCTGGCTTGAAGCTTATGTGCATAGATACCCACCTTTGGCTTGCCTCGCCTCCTCAACCTTAAGAGGCTACAAACTCCCTCGCACAGTTGAAACACTCTTCCGAAATTGAGCTGTTCATCCGATCCATGTTAGAAGGCTTAACCACATACATGTCCGCGGGTTGCGCAGGAAAATCCAGCTTAACCGAGCCACTCTAACTCAAACAAGATGATGCAGGCATAGTTGAACACCAAGAGGAGTTTAGACAATTTGGACTTGGGCTCTACACTCTGAACCCGACAAGCAGAAAGCCGCTGCCCAGCCTTGCACTTGCGGGAGCACTCCAGCAATCGCTTGACGAGGGCCGGGACCGAGTTCTTCGGAATAGTATGAGGACACGTGCTGCAAACCATTACCACTTGCTCAACACCTATGCAATAACCCTTTTGCATGTGGCAGGCAACAGTTGCGAATTCCAATGAAATAGCGGGTTCAATTGTGAACTATGCGGAGCCCGCTGCAGCAGTTGAGCCCGAATTTGCGGTGTGTCACTGTTGCATGTGCGTTGTTTTCGTTTGGCATTTCACAGGGCAGAGGGGCGGCCCGTCCTTTTCAGTTGTTGGCTAATACTCTGGGTTTTGGTAAGTTCCGCGGCTCCGACCGATTGGCACAGCTCTCGTTGCCAATGGGTGGGGTGAGGAATCAAGGTCGACGCGACATGTACAGATCTTGCGCTACGCACAGCACACCGTGAGCCGTGAGCCTCAAAAACTTTCAACCTCTCAAATGTAAATCTTAACCCTGCATCCGACAAAAAGGGCGGGGAGGGTGTGTGAAACAGCCAAAACACGTTCCCTGATTCTGATGGTCACCCAAGATGCGTGGCCGCAGCAGGGTGACCCGAATCGTCGTCACCCGGCTCCTTTAACACGTTAACTCAGCCCCCGGACTAAATCTTTACGCCCCCTCCACCAAAGGCCTAAACTCTGAACCCAAAAATCTTCTTACTAAACCCAAAGCCCTAAACATCGTGGCAGCTTTTCCCTCAGCGCTGGTAAGTCTTGGCGACGAAGCCGTCGGAACCCACGAGTCGGTCCAGCAGCGGCTGTAGGTTTCGAGCGAGGCCGGCCTTGCCACGGCTCTGCATTTGGTTTACCCTAAAGGGTCCAAGGACGCAAATAAT